GGACCTAGGAAGGAAGAGGCTATCCACCTCCAGAGAAAGAACTGATAAATGGAAGTATACATAGTATGGTTTTATGTATATGTGTATACATATACATGTATATATGTGTGTATATACATAATATGTGTGTGTGTCTATGTGTGTGTGTATCTGTGTCAAGTGGTGGCCTTCTTTAGTGTGGGGTGAGGGGAGAAGGAGATAGTTTGGAACTTAAAATGTAATAAAAATTAAAATTTAAAAATAAAATAAAATAAGAAATGTAATAGCTGTGCAAATATGGGTAAATCATTTACCTCTCTCATTTTTCTCATATAAAGTTAGGATTGATACAATTTGCACCATCTTTCTTCACAGGGTAGTTGTGAAAATACTTTGCAAATCTTAAGATGCTATACCAAAATGAGCTATTATTATCAGATTATTATGTGCCAGGCCCCGTGCTAAGTTCTGCAGATACAACGAAAGGCAAAAACACAGTTTTTGCTCTTGAATTCACATTCTAATAGAGAAACAAGATGCAAATAATTATGTACCTACATGATATATACAGTATAAATGGAAGGTAATCTTAGTCCGAGGAGTGTAGGGGAACCAGAAAATATCTTTTGCAGAAGGTAAAGTTTGAGCTGAATCTTAAAGGAAGTCAGGGAAGCCAGGAGGCAGAGTTGAGGAGGGACAGCCAGTGAAAATGAAACAGAGCTGGATAACGGATTTCCATGTGCAAGGAATAAGTCGACTGGGATAACTTGATTGTAGAGTGTGCAAAGTGTAAGTATAAGAAGACTGGAAAGGTAGGAAGGGGTCTAGTTGTGAAGGCCTTTAACTGACAATCAGAGGATTTTATATTTGATTCTGGAGGTAATAGGGAACCACTGGAGTTTATTGGGTGGCAATAGGCAGCAATTTGTTGTTGTTGCTCAGTCTTTTTCAGTCATGTCCAACTCTTTGTGACCCCATTTGGGGCTTTCTTGGCAAAGATACTGGAGTGGTTTGCCATTTCTCTCTTCAGTTGATGACTGAAAGTGAAGAGTTGAGGATGACACAGAGGTTGTGAGCCTCAGTAGCTGGAAGGATAATGGTGTCCTCATTATTAATAGAGAGGGTTTGGGGAGAAACATAATGAGTTCCATTTCAGACATGTTGAATTCGAGATGCCTATGGGACATCCAGTTCAAGATGTCCAAGAAGCAGTTAGGGCAGCTAGATGGTGCAGTAGATAAAGTGCTGGGCCTAGAGTCAGGAAGACCTGAGTTCAAATATGGACTCAGATACTTGCTAGCTGTGTGACCCTGGGCAAGTCACTTAACCCTGTTTGCCTCAGTTCCTCATCTGTAAAATGAACTAGAAAAAGAAATGACAAACCACTCTAGTATTTTTGCCAAGAAAACTCCAAATGGGGTCATGAAGAATCAGTGATTGAACAATTAAAAGAAGCAATTGGTGATGCAGGACTGGAGATCAGGAGAGAGCTTAAGGCTGGATATATAGCTCTTCTGGTCATCTGCATAAATATGATAGTTGAGTTCACAGGAGCTCATGTACTGTCACTAAGATAGTACAGAGAGAAAAGAAAAGAGAATCCAGGACAGAGCCTTAAGGGACATCCTGGATGAAGATCACTGCGTAGAAGTGTAGATAGGTAGGAGAACAGAGACAGCAGTATCAGGAAAACCTATAGAGGAGAGAGTATTCAGGAAGAGCAGGTGATCAACAGTGTCAAAGGCCATTGAGAGGTCAAGAAAGATGCAGGCTTCTATGAAAAGATCATCTAGTGAGAGCAGTTTTGGTGGAATGATGAGGTTGGAAGCCAAACTGAAGAGAATTTAGAAGTGAGAGAAGATAGGGAAGAACTTAGTATAGACAACTTTCTCAAGGAGTTTGGTGGAGAATGGGAGGTGAGATATTGTATTATAGCTATCAGGGACAACTGGATCAAGTGAGGGTTTTTCAAGGATGAGAGAGACATGGGCGTGTTTATGGGCAGCAGGGGAAAAGCCAGTAGTTAAGGAGAGATTGTAAATTAGAAAGAGAGATAGTGGGGATCACCCGAGGGACCAATCTGCTGGAGAAGATGGGATAGAATGGGATCACTTGTGCATGCTGAGAGGCAGGAGTGAAGGAGAAGGCATCTAAGTGATGTAAGCTGTACAGGAGTTAAAAGCAAGGAGCTCTGAGCTAATGGCCTCAGTTTTTTTGGGTTTTTTTTTTTCAGTGAAGTATGAGACAAGGTTCTCTCTCAACTGAGAGGCAGGGAGAGGTAGTGCCATAGGAGACTTGAGGAGGGTTAAAAAGGTTTAGAATCAGCACTGTAATCAATCGAATCGTGAATCAAGTGGGGAGGTGTTAAAGGATTGCCTTACTATAGTGAGGGCCCAGTTGAGATTATGTAACCCAAATATACAGGGGACCCAGTCAGTATGTGACTTTCTTTTACTTCCTTTAGCATCATCCAAATAAAAGCAAAGGATTCAGATGGCGGGAATAATCTCAGGTTGTAGTCTGGGAAAGCAAGATCAGCTGTAAGACAAGAGGACAGGGAATTTGAGCTGAATTGATTTTATCAAGGGCCTGAGATAGGAAAGGGAGAAGATTGTATCCATGGCCTGGAGGAGAGTGTAGCCAGGGCAAGGGTGATGACCTCAGAACAAACCAAGAGTGGACAGATAGAAGATCATTATGGCAAGAATGAATAGAGTTAGCAGTTACAAGGCATAAGGAAAGATGGAATGATAAAAGATAGTGAACAGATAAAGAAATTTCAGAATTCATGAACAAAGAATATATAATATAAATTATTTTTACTCCTGGCAGTTGATCTACACCTTCAGAACTACTGACAAAAATGAATGGAAAAAACACTCTGATGCAAAAACTTTTACAATTGAAAATTCTGGATGGGCCAGTTTACTTAACAACTCATGCACCTATCTGGTAATGCTTGGTTTCCTTAGAATCAAGGTTCAACATAACTTCAAAGCCCAAAGGATAACCAGTGCTCATGGCTTTAAAGTTCTGTCGAATGAGTTAATGGAAGTCCAATAGAAAACTTGATCTACTGTCTATTCTGTATGTCAAATGCTATCTTTTCTACCTTCATCTCTCACATATGCCCCCTTCTCTTCTCTGACGCTCCTACCATCTTGGTGCAGTCCCTTATCACCTCATACCTGGACCACAGTATTTTTACGCCTTACTCTGATCCACATAACTTTGTGATCCTTACTCTGGTGTTCTAACAATTCTGGCCTCCTCACTGTTGCTTACACAGTACACCCCACCTCCTGACTGAATTTTTACTGTCCCCATGTATAAGGGAATACTCTTCCCTTCTTATCTCCAACCTCCCACTTCCTTCAAGTTTCAGTTAAAGTCTCCTTCAAGAAACCTTTTCTAATCCTGCTTTATCTTAGTGCCTTTTCCCTGGGAGATCACCTCCAACTTGTCTTGTATGTATCTTGTTTGTAAGTAGTTGTTTGCATGTTATCTCCTGCATTAAATTGGGAGGTTCCTTAGATCAAGGACTGGTTTGTTTTTGTTGGGTTTGTTTTTTTTTTTGGCCTTTCTTTGTATTTCAAGGATTCAGCACAGTGCCTGGCACATAGTAGGTGCTGTGGGTGCCACATTCTGGCTAACATTTCAGGAACCTTAAGAATTCTACTTATCTCTTTTTTCAGGGTCTTTTCACATGACACATTACCTTGTTATTTCTAAGCTGAATTCCTTCAAGTAGTTGGTTGCATATATCCTGCAGCTTCCTCTCCCCAGTCTCCTGGCCAGCCCAGTTAGTTTTTAATTCTTTCCCTCACAGCTGTGTGTGTGTGTGTGTGTGTGTGTGTGTGTGCCCAATGACATGAGAATTCATCAGGGTGTTGTGCTCTCCAAGTGGAAACCTCCTTTATGAGGCAGGCCTGTAGCTTTTATGTAACCTAGTGTACAAAGTAGCCCAAGAGGTTATAAGTACCTTGATCGTGGTCACATAGCCAGTGTCTGTGAGCAGAACTTGAATCCAGGCCTTCCTTACTGTAACTATTGCCTCTCCAAAACTACTTATTTAAAAAAAAAGTCTCCTAAAATCTTCTGAAAAGACTATAGGAAAAGTTTCTCAATATTACTTTTAAGTAATTTAATAAATTACTTGATAACTATAACTCTTGTAGTCTAAGCACCCACCATGAGGTGTTTCCACTTTTTCTTTGGAAAACTACAGGTTGTCGGGGGTTGCCCCCCAATAGAATGCTATTGTTCGGGGTTTGAAGTGTGCGGTTTTGGAACGGGTAAGTCGACCGACCCAGGTACAGCAAGCCCACCACAGTGGACGAATTCCCAGAACTGGAGGGCATCATTAGTCATGTAGGTGGGTGGGGAACAGCAACAGAACACAACCACAAAGCCTGGAGAGGCAACAGTAAATAACAACACAACTTTCAGGATTTTCCAGGGACTTGGCACCACTCTGTGCACACTGGATAATATTAATGTATAACTTTGGCTATCCCTTAGCTGTTAAATCTTTTTTTTTTAAACCACTCAGCGATAGCTTGACATAAACCTTGCAAAAAAGTGCTTGCGGAGGCGGGGGGTGGGGGACCCAAGTGTGAGGAAGGCTGGGGGATGCAGCAAAGACGGCCTTGAAAAGAGAGAAAGAAAGGAAGGAGGGAAGAAGGGAGGGAGGGCAGGAGGGGGAAATCTCTCCCAGGGTTTCAGAGATTTGCTGGGAGGGAGGAGGTGAGTGAGAACTGCCCGAGCCAGAGGAACACAGGGAGTTGTTTGTGTGAGGGAGGAGAGAGGGGGAGGGAAGGGTGTAGGAGAGAAAGGAGAGCGCGGGAGGAGGGGAAATGGGAAAGAGGAGGGAGAGGGCTGGCCCAGAGTCAGCAGCCATATTGCGCGCACATGCACGCGCGCACACACCAGGAGAGAGGGGCGGGGCGGGGCGGGGCGCGGTTCTCACACCCCACCCCCCTCCGCCCTCCTCCAGCCTGCCTGCCTGCCCCGGCCCCAGGGAGCCGAGTCACCGGAGCAGCCGGGGTGAGAGGCGCACGAGCCCACTGACTGCGGGCGGGACGGAGGAGCCGAGAGCTGTGCTTGCACTACTCTGGTAGGACGGCTGCTGCGCTCTCCTCCCGGGCGGCGGCGGCGGCGGCGGGCTGCGGGGCGGGATGGAACCTGCGGGGCAGAGGAGACCAGACCCTGTCCTTCGCTTGGGCTTCTCACTCTTTTGGGGAAGGCACTGGCAACAGGTGTTGTTAGGGATTGGGAGCTACCCTGCTGGAGTGGAATGGATGGAACTTATGCAAAAGTACCCCCACGTCCACCCCAGGGGGGACCCGCGGGAGAGCGCCGCCTCCTCCCTGCCGCGAGGCCGCCGCCAGGTCCTCCGGAGCCCCCAGCCCTCGGGACGGCACCCAACACCCCGGGGTCGTCGAGGAACCCTCATGTAGCTCTTTTTTCTTTTTCGTAAACTCTCCAATCCCCCTACCCCCAGCGCCGGCCTGGGACCCAGGGGTCTTCATAGTACGGACTGCGCTGGACTCCCGGACAAAGTCCAGCCGCGTGCTTTTGGGGCAGAACTTCTTACATATAGACGCCACCTTCTGTTTGACCTAAATAAATTACAGGTTACATCGGATTTTTTGTGTTGCTGCCTCCCTCTCTTAATGCCTACTTTACCACCACCCCCTTTTAAAAAAAATAAGTGAGCCCTAGAAAAATGTTAATATTTATTTATATTAGTGTCATTTGTTTATGTTATTATTTTAAAATGTTATTTATTTATGTTCCCCTGCCCCTTCTTAGCTCCCTATCTTTACCGCCTTTTGGCTTTCTGTGCCCAGAAAGTGTCTGCCCGCCCCTGTCTTCTCTCCTTTCTTCATCCCCCACCCTCTTATTTTGCCTTTCCTAGGAGTCGCCTTTCCATTTTAAAAACATTGTTTCTTAAAGAATTTGTTTTGATTTCAGCCTTAGGGCAAACGTTGCTGGTTGAAGTGAAACTAAGAAAGTGACTAATCTGCCTGGAAAGTGAGACTTACTTAAAAAAATCACCCCCCCCCCCCCACCCCTGTCCTTCCCTCTTCTAGCCCTCATCCCTCCCTTGCCCTCCTCTGAACCTCCCTGGGCTTGGTTTTTTGCCTCCAGACTTGGGTCCTTGCTGCTTGGGAACCTTGACAAAGAAGCAAGCCTACACCTGTCCTTGCCTTGATCCAGGGTCCACAGAGAAAGCCGCTTTGGCACAGTTGCCCTAGAGCCTGGCACAGTTGCCCTAGAGCCAGACAAAGAGCGGGCAACAGGTTGGCACATCACCTGATTATTTTCTTTCTCTCCTTCCCCTCCCCCTTTTCCATCTTTCCTTCCTCCCTCTCCTCTTTGATTAAGTGATTCTTCCCAAGGCTCAGGAGAGATTGTCTGAGGGTACATTTGGTTTTATGGGTGTGGTTGAGTAAATGACCTTCCTTGGTGAATGAAGGCTGGGCTTTTCCTCTCCTCCTGGGTGAGGCATTAAAAAAGAAAAAAAAACCAAAACGGTGGAGTTCCTCCATAATTACTGGTCCAGTGACTCATCCTCAGTTCCCCTGTTGGGCCTGTTTTTTTAAAAACCCCAACAGTCTTGAGGCAGACTTCAGATCCCTGTGGTTTGCCTGTGGGAGGCAGAAGGCCTTCCTTCCTTTGTAAAGGGGACTTTCTTTTACTTTAGGGAAAGAAGAGAACTCTTTGCATGAAAGCTTTGTTTGGAGGGATACTAAGGAACACATCAGGAACCGAAAATGCCGAAACCAGTAAGTAATGCAGTTTTATCATTCCAGTCTTTTTGCTTTGAATGTCCAGCAGGTTCCATGCTAGAAACTTTGTGGTGTATCTATATATTTATATATTGTATATTTTAATATAATATTATACATATTATATATTGTTCTACATAATATAATATATAATGTTAATATATATTAATGAAAATGACCTTGAACTACGGGCTTGGACAAGGATCCTTGTGTAAATCCTTAGATAGGATTTTTTTTAAAGGGGGAAAGTAAAAAGACAAAAGGAGAACCTTTCTCCCTCCTTCCCCTCCTCTTCCTCTTGGGCCTTTATGTGTGGATTCTGAGAAACATCAAGGAACCAGGATTATAGTGTTTCACCTATTTAGCTCTCCACAGAGTATTCAGTCCTCAGTGAAACTTCTCATTCTGAACACAGTAGTTAGGACTGGTTTATTTGTCATAAACCTCTTTTGGACTGTTTTTCTGTCTTCTGCATTTTAAAAACTTGCATTCTTGGGCTCAAAAGCACCACAAAATCTAAATGCCTATTTTTTTTTTTTTGCTTTTGTTTTTAATGGTGAATTGAATCCATGAATTGCATGGTAGGGAGTGGGCTCTCCCCTCCTCCTGCAGGATTCAAAGTAACCAGAAGTAAGTACGAAAAGGTCTTTCAAGGGTCTGAAATGGAATCAGGCGTCTATCTTTCTCTTTGTAATTTATAAAGTCACCTTGAAGAGAAGACTTTGTCTTACAGATTGCTGTAGAATTCCAGTCCCTTTTATGGGGCCCCTGTCAAAATCATAGTAAAGTAACAAAACTTCAAGGCATCTTGGTGGTGCAGTGGATAGAGCGTCAGGGCTGGCGTCAGAAAGATTCATCATCCCGAGTTCAAATCTGGCTTCAGGTACATACTAGCAGTGTCACCCTGGGCAAGTCTCTGAACCCTGTTTGCCTCAATTTCCTCATCTGTAAAATGAGCTGGAGAAGGAAATGGAAAACCATTCCAGTATCTTTTCCAAGAAAACCCCAAATGGGGTCTCGAGGAGTCAGACAGGACAAATGACAGCAACAAAAGCAGAAGTCCCATCTCTGTAGTAGTTTAGTAATGGACTTGAATTGCAGATGGAGGCAGTACCCCAGTGGGGGGAGGGGGAGGAATTCTCCTTAAGGCTCTGATGTGTACAATGGGATGTGTTTCAGCTGTCAAGAAGTCCTTTTTTGCACCACCGTGATTGTATTGACCCCAGATATGTTGAGATCTCATTCACTTCCTTTGTCTGACAGGGCTGGCTTATCTTGGTTTTCCTGCAGAGTATTGGAATGGTTCAGATTTGTCCCTGTCTGACATGTTGTTTCTTAGCAAGGCTTATGTGCCTTACTGTGCTTTGCCACAAGGGGTAGTTTAATCAGTAGTATGAACTGTACTAGAAAACTGGAGACCAGATCATGATTTCCCCCAAAAAGCAACTTTTTTTTTTAATGGATAAATTAGTTCATTTTTGAAACACAATGGAGAAAATATGCTTTGTTTTTTTCAAGTACCATATGAGATACATGGGGATTTAAGCTTTGGTTTTGAAAACTTTTTTTTTTTTTGAGTTAGAGTTTCTTGCAGGGCTGAAATTTTATTCTGTTACAGTTTCTCTGGAAAGTCCAACATTAATACAGCTAACATTGCTCAGTTCATAGGAGCATAGGTTACATGTTGAACAGAATCTTCCAACTCATATGAGGGTAGCATAGTGGATAACATGCTGGGCCTAGAGTTAGGAAGATTTGAGTTCAAATATGGCCTTAGATACTTAGCTGTATGACTCTGGGCGAGGCACTTAACAAAGGTTAAGTGCCTTGCCCAGGGTCAAAATGAGGATACTAATAGCAACCTGTCTTGCAGGATTGTTGTGGGAACCAAAAGAGATGATATTTGTTACGAAGAACTTAGTGGGCACTATATAAATGCTTATTCCTCCCCCTTTCCATTGTCTATTAAAAAAGAACAAGTGGTCCACTTTTCTCACCTTTCATTTCTGATGTCCAACATCAGTCAGTCTGCTTAGATTGCCCTAGAACAGTTACTTCTGCTATGACTTAGTAGCTGTCAGAAAGCTGATGCCTTTGATATAATTCCCTACTGAGAACACATCTGGGAAAACATTGTGCAAAGGAGAGATGATTACTTCTAAAATAGAAGATTTTTATTGTGATTTTATTTGGGGAAGGAGGGGATCTCTGAGAAAGCAAGATGAACAAAAGTAAAGCCATTGGAACAGGGCAGAGATTCTAGCAAGAACTTTGTCGTGCATATCCAGGATGGTAGATCTTTTCCAAACTCTAATCATTTCCCCATTTTTTTCCATAACAGTATTTACCTTTTTTTCTTTGTATGGCAGGCATGGTTTCACTCCAGTTTCCTTTATGCAGGGATTCTTAATGTTTTTTGTGTGTCATGGATTTGGGCAGTCTGGAGAATGAATATTCCTATTGGGGATGAATATTCCTATCTCTGAATAATGTTTTCAAATGCATAAAATGAAATACATGGGATTACAAAGGAAACCAATTATATTGAAACGCAGTCACCATAATATCTACTAAAATTATAGACAGTTGTGAATGTCTCTTGGATTGGTGGAGTTTTTCTCTACGTAATCCATACTAGTAAGCAGGCAGCTCACTCTCAGTGATCAGAATTGAACATTCTGCTGGTGGTGAAGAGAGTTCTTGGTGTCTCTGTTCTCCCTCTCTTCTCATCCTCACCCTCTGTACACCATTGCTCACCCAACACACACACACACACACACACACACACACACACACTCAAATTTATTTTATAACCTTGTCTTATAGCAGAAAAATCCATGAAGGCCTCATATTGGAAACCTTGCCTTAGAGATTGCTTTGATGGGTCATAAAATAGAAGACAATTTATTTTTTCCTGAAAATTAAACAGACTCACTAGTTTTGTCATGTATTTTTTTAAACAAAATGCATTATTGATGCTTTAAAAAAAATAGATATTGCTTCCCAATGACTCCTCCCCACCACCATAAAACTTTCTCGTACCAGTCAATGAAAGTATAGACAAACAAAATTAGCCACCATGTTGGCCATGTCTGACAATTTACACCTCATTCTAAACAGATAATCCATTCTTCTGACAAAGGGCTATGTTAATTCTTGTACCCTAAGGGCCAAAAGAATTTACCATTCTGTGGATTATCTTGTCATCAGGGTAGATTTTTTTTTCTTCCTATATTCAGGTTAGTATTACTATACTCAAGAGACTGGTGTCGCATCTCTTTATAACTGTCCTTCTCAGACGTCTTTGGTCTGAAGATGACCGATGTAGACCACGTATTTTGTATATGCATCCGTCCACTTGCCATGGTGAAGAAAAATTAGTCTCAGGGTTTTTCCTTGGGTAAACAGGAATTGTGTGATGATTTTTAGTGTAGATTAGGATCTGCACTGAAGTACATAAAACACCCACATTTTTGAGTGACTTTTATTGGAACCATTTTCATAGGTAACCTGAAAGACCCTTGGGGTCCCTAATGGGTGGTGAATGATCTTGCTTTACCTAATTTACTGCCATATATGTCTAATAAATATTAAATTGGAAGTGTATCAGGTAGTCCTTATGCAGCAAAGAGCTAACAATACCTCTCATTTCTATTTGATTTAGGTTTCCTTTGCTAGCTATGAATTTTGGTTTTGTTGTAGTTTGCTTATGATATTGATAGGATGGAGGCTGCGGCAAAGAAATTTTCATATAAGAATAGTTACATTTGAATGGTTTAGATTTGAGCTGTCAACCGGACCTTATAACTGTTCTTTTTCAACTTAACAGCCGAAGCTGTCTCTTTAATCGGAGTGCCTTGCCTGTATGTCCACGTCACTTACACTCATTTAAACAGTGGAGTTAGATTCATTTTTGTTTCCTGACAATTCCAGTCTCCTGAGAGAGTCAGGCCCCACTTTAAGGACAATGGAAGTTAAATCAACTAGGATTGGAAGAACCTTGATGTTGTCCCAGTCAGGTATACATTATTTTTGTTGAAATTAAGATCTGGGAGCCACAGAAATAGCAAAAAGCATTGTCATGGAATGAATGAAACAGGTCAGGGCAGTGTGTTTTCATCAGCCATCATAACTTTTCTGAGTTCCAATAATAGTACTTTCAGTACACAATCTGCCGTTTGTTCCTCTGTGATCGTGGGAAGTCCCAAACTGCCTTATTTATAAAAACACAATTTCTTTGCTGCCTTCCAGGTTAGGCTGACCTGTTTTCTTCCCTCCCTCTCTATTCGTTGTGGGGGTCATATATTTTCAAGACTTTGTGGGGTACGAACAAAAACTATTGTAGCCAACCTCTGGGGGTATTATCTTCACAGCCTGAAGATTTGAGGGACTAAAGGTTTTTTATTTTTCTAAATCGTCCAGGTAGGAAAAACTTAAAAGTGAGTTAGCTCTAAAAGGCATGAAGAGATGGCTCTTTGCTTTTCAGTTTTGAAGTGTTAAGCTTGCCTTTGAGATTTTCTAACCAACACCAGTTTCTTTTTCTTTTGAGTAATTACAGAATTCATTCAATCATTGAATTTCAAAGCCAGAAGATTATCTAATCCAACTCATTCATTTTTGCAAATGAGACCCAAGAGAGAAAAAATTGATTTATCCAAGGTCACATAGCAAGCTTTTGGCAAAACTGGACCTAAAATTGAAGTCTTGATTCTTTATCACCTAATTGCTGGTTATTTTAATCAGGTTCAGTTACAATGACAATTGTTAGACGTTAGAATCCAAGCAATTTAGATTACTTTGTCTCTCTGGTACTGGCTGGATACTTCTGACAGCCTTTTTTTTTTTTCCTATAAATGATAATATAAAATAGATGTGTGTATTTAGTTATGACTAATTTGGAGCTTAATAGGTGTTATGTCTGTTGATTTCTTTTTTTTATTCTTTCTCCTAAATTACTTTGGAAGAAATGCAGGATTTCTTTCCTTACCACTGGGTGG